ATGAACTGTTCAAGAGAGCTGGATCCAACATAGTGACTCTGGTTCAAATCCCCAGACCAGTCAGTTAACCTTAAAAGCACACCCAGCATTCATGCAAATACCTAAGACCTGATGGACTGGAGGACTGCAGGAAGGGGATCACATGTGCAGGGCTCTCATCTATACCTCCACCCCCATGCACATGCATGTGCTCTATCATGAATAAAGACAAAAAATAAAAAGTATCATTAGATAAACTGAAGAACAACTACTGAATAACATTTAGGAGGTTCTAATATCAAATGTAGGAAATATGTGATATAAATGCTTCCCTAAACATTTAATAAAGCTCTTATTATCTATATTTGCAAATATAGATAATATTTTTAGTTAGAGCATATATCATATTATATAAGTAAAAATTAGGGGCCGGGAGGTGGCGTGGTAGTTAAGGTGCTGGACTCCCACATGGCCAACTACAGTTCGAGTCCTAGACCTGGTGGCTTGACCTGGAAGCTTAAAACTCATGCCAGGTTCATGTGTGTATGTGCCCTAGATCCTGAGAGGAGAATGGAGGAGAAGGGATTGAAGCGTGGCCTTCCACCCAGTGAGTGATTTCTTGCTTTCTGTCTCTCTGTCTCTCTGTGTCTCACTGGTGAACATACATGCCCTACAGCAAAAATCTCTTTAGAAAAAAAAAAAATTAGGGGCCAGCGGGTGATGTGGTGGTTGAGATACTGGACTCCCAATGGCTGACCATGGTTCAAGTCCCAGACCTGGTAGGTTGCTTTCTCACTTTCCCTTTCTCTCTCTTTCTGGTAAAATAAATAAATAAATAAATATTAATAATAAAGTTAAATAATTATTTAAAAATTAACTTCTAATACTTGAAGGACTCTAGGAAAAAGTACCCCTAAGATATAAATTCCTAACTATAAATACCTCAGTAGAGTATGAGTGTACATGGATGTGCTAGGGTGAAACAGAAAGTCTTTAAGTGTTCACACATGGCACAGGGCTAGTCTCTGTACACACTGAACACACTTGCTCTGAAGGCAGCAAACAGAAAGCAGAAGTGGAGAAGGCCTTGGCACCCTGGGCCTTCACACTATGCCTGCCTTATTGAGAACTACCCTCTATTCTCTGAAAAAACAGAATCCAGGGAACCAGCAGTTAGCGTAATGGCTATGTCGCTGGACTCCCACATAGTCGACTGCGGTTCGCATCCTGGACCCGGTGGCTTAGAACTCACGCCAGGCATGTGTACGTGTGTGCCCGCCCAAGATCCTGAGAGGAGAATGGAGGAGAAGGGATTGCGGCGTGACCATCCCCCCTGGGGGGTGATTTCTCGCTTTCTGTCTCTCTGTCTCTCTCTCTCTGTCTGGCGAGCGCACGCACCCTATAGCGAAAAACCTCTCCAAAAAAATAAATAAATAAATAAACAGAATCCACATCCAGCAATAGGAAAGTCGGTAGACAACTGTTACATGCTCATATCAAATACAAGCTTTAAAAGTTACAGCAGTGAATATAATGATATTAAAGCTGTTTATAATACACAATTAAGTAAAAATAAAACAACAAAAAAGAAACAAAAGAAGATATAAAGTTATATATTTGTGTACACAGACACACAGGATCTCATTAAAAATAAAAAATAAATATATACACTCAAAAGCACACATATACTCCAACATAAGGATGTTATTTAAAAGAGGGTTTAAAGAAAAATATCCAAATTATCAATAGAGGTTACAACTGGACATGTAAACTTGTGAATTTTTTTTAAATGTTCAGAGTATCAAATGTTGTACTTAATTAAGCACACAGTTTATTATGGTATACCACTCAGTTTAGAAAAATGATTTTCAGGCCCACACTCAGTGGCACCTGCAGTAGGGATGCTGCTGCACAATTCAGGAGGCCAAACATAGAGGCTCTCGGTTCATGCTCCAAGGCTACCTAAACACAATGGATGTCCATGATTCTGGCTGGCTGCAAGGCTAGAGGGAGGATCATGGGGCAAAGACCCTGTTGACAGTGCATGTCTCTGTGCATGCACATGAGTATGAGTGTGTGGAATAAACACACTTTTAAAAAAATCAAAATAAAACCAATACACTACAAGGAAAACATGTCATTTCTTATGTGTACAGTTACATGTAGAATAATATCTTAGAAGTGAATTGCTAAATCTGAAATGTAAATGCACTTGTAAATTTGATAAACGCTTCCAAGACAACTTCTACAAAGGTTGTATTACATTGTATTTCCAACAGCAGGTATAAAAGTACCTGTTGGGCTTTAATATTACCTACTAGGCCTGTTGTCAAGCCTTGAGATGTTTGCCAATCTGACAGATAAAAAGATATATCACTAAAGTTTTACCTTTCATATTGCATATCATAAATGAAATTGAATTTTTTTGAGCTGTATGTTCTTATTCTTTATCCATTTTCCTTCTGAGTTATTAGTTCCCTTATTAATCTGTAGATACACTTGACACATTAAGGAATGAATATTATTTTCTATGATCTAAGTAGCAAACATTTTCCCAGTCTATTTTTAGTTCTTATTCTGCTGTAGTTTTCCTAACTATTCTTAAGTATAGTTTATCCTTAATTGAAGTGACAGATTTTGTTTTCTACATGGTGATGGGTATGAAAGAAAATCCAATCTTCTTTTTTTAAAAAAGGAAGCAATTTAGAATAAATATAGCTAGTGGGCCAGCGGTTACTCCAAAGCCACTGTCAGCTTACATGTAGTAGAGTATGAAGAGAGCAGTGGGAGGAGGTATGGGTTTGTAAAACAGACAATGCAATTCACTTGATGGTTTTCACTTCCTCAAGGTACTTCTAATGTAGTTGGGAAAGGATAAGGAATTAACCACAGCCCAGCTGTTGTGGCATAAGTGGGAAGACCCATTGCCTGATGGCTGAGGTAACATGGGAGGCCTGAGTTCAGTTCTCAGCCCAACCTGGACAGGCTGGGTGAAGTAGTTCAAGTCTATGGTCCTGGCTAACTGGGAGGTTGGGCAGGGTGATCATGATATGGCAAAATCCTATCAAAATTATACTCCCTTGCATTGGGAAAATAATTAACCATATGCTAAGTGCCAATATTGGAGCATATGCAATTTGCGCCATAGGAGTGCTGCAAGTCAGCAAACAAATGAGCTGGGAAAGATCTGAGATTTTGAGGGAACAGGAACCTTAGATAAAAGCAATAAAGGAAAGGGGTTTCATAAAAAGCCTTTAAGATAGCCTACTGACACAAGCACTCTGACAAACATGTTAACTGAACTTCAAACAGCTATCAAAATAAAATAGAAAGCCCAGTGTTCCATCTCTCAATCCCAGGTCAAATGAAAGTGGGATGGGAATTCCATCAGCTTCTTCGTTACCTAGCCTAGCCCTATGCTCAGATTTCTCCATCAAGAGTGTCTTTGCAGGACCAGCAGATAGTGTAATGGTTACATTGCTGGACTCCCATGTAGTTGACCATGGTTTGACACCCAGACCAGGCAACTTAAAACTCACATCAAGTACATGAGTGGGTGTGCCCAAAATCCCAAGAGAAGAACAGGTTGCAGCATGGCCATCCCCCCTGGGGTGGGGAGATGATTTCTAGCTTTCTGTCTGTCTCTGTCTCTGGTGGGCACACACAGCAAAAATCTCTCAAAACAAAACAAAACAAAAGTATCTTTGGTTGTGTTTAAACTATTCTGCTCACTTAAAATTCTATTTTTTTCATGTCATATCTAACACAGACATAGACAATGGCACAAAGGTGCCTAAAACCTAGCATATGTCTGAAAAAAGAAAAGTCACACTTAACTGTCTGTTAGACAACATTAAATTGCACAAATATTTTATGAAAAAATGCACTTAAAGATTAGAACCAATTATTAACATATATCTCAATACTGCTAGATAAATATTTCCCCTCCTCAATCCTTTTTTGATTTATGGAGCTTTCCCTATTTATGTGTAAATCAATTCTTAGCAGTAAGAGGCTGGGTTAATGATAATGGGTGAGCCCAAAGGACTTTTTAGTATTTGGCAGCAAAGAAATATCAAATTGGTGGGATTAATCAAATTTCAACTGCTACAGATTAACAATATCTTAAAAAATAAATCAAATAAAAATAATGAAGAAAAGTACACTTACATATTTCTAAACAATAAATCACATTTTTATACACATAAAGGACATATATATGTAAGTCATTTTTTAGATATGGTTCAAACATATGAAAATATAAACCTACCAGTCATGGACAGTGGTTCTATTCGCTGCCCTTTACTGTCTTTTCCTTCATAAACCACTGTAACATCATAAATTGCATCTAAATAATTCTTCATAGAATCAAAAGCAACATGAGTTGCCTTTATTCTTGGCGTCAGCACATGTTTTAATACTGCAAGACCTAGAAAAGAAGTTGATTCAGTGTGGCCATAAATTACAAAATACCTCTACAATATAATACTTTAAGTTCAATATAAATTGTTTTTAAAATTCCATGAATAAACAGACTAGACTATATTAATGTTTTAATCTCACATTGAAAGGACTTCAAGTTTAAAAATAAACTCTTACATCCCCTTTTCTATTTAAATCAATATCCATTAAAGCAGTTTAGTAAATATCTACACATACAAGACACAGTATTGGAAGTTGTCAGAAAACCAGAAAGTGGAAGACCTACTTTCCAATTTATTATAGTAAACCCGAGCACTAATGTTTGTATTCTCATTTCTAGCAACTGAAAAAAGGTAGCAGCATCCTGTTTATGGTCACTTGAGCAGTTTGGGGAGTGCAAGTTATAATTTTTGACTACTGGTCCATGATTCCTTTAATTCTATTTCTGTTTAAATAGAGGCTGGAGATGGGGGAGGAGTTAATGACCCCCACTATGTACATTATCTGAAGTAAGAGCTGGTATGGTTCAGATATTGTAAAATAATGACCTGACATTTGTTTTTTTTTTTTTTAATTTGCTATACGGTGTATGCTCTTACCGAAGACAGACAAAGAGAGAAAGAGAGAGGGAGAATGAGAAAACACCCCCCAAGGAGGGATGGCCATGCCACAATCCCTTCTCCATTCTCCCCTCTGGATTTTGGGTATGCATGCACACATGACCAGTATGCTTTTTTAAGCTACCAGGTCTGATATTCAAACCACAAAGTCAGCCATGTGGGATCTTGCTGCCTTAACTCACCTAACCACTGCCCAGCCCAGACCCAATATTTGTAATATAAACTGAAGAACTAGCTTCTTGGCATACTTTTATTAAAAAAAAAAAAAAAAAAAAACTAAGACATAACTCACATATAATAAAATTCATCATTTAATTTATGTACATAACTCATATAATAAAATTCATCATTTAATTTATGTAATTCATTGGTTTTAGGACCATTCATAGAGCTGTGCAACTATCACCAATATCTAATTCCAGATTTTTTTTTTCCTTTGGGAGAGATTATTTCTATAGGTCATGTGCACTGCTAGAAATACAGACAGAAAGAAAGTGAGAAATCAACCCTAAGGGGATAGCCTATAGCTCACCATAATCCCTTCTCCTCCATTCTCCTCTTAGGATTTCTGGCACACATGCACATGTGCCCAGGGTGATTTTCTTCTTCTTTTTTTTTTTTTTCTTTTCTTTTATCATTTTTTTAAAGAGATTTTTGCTATAGGGCGCGTGCGCTCACCAGACAGACAGAGAAAGAAACAAAGACAGAAAGCAAGAAATAACCCCCCGGGGGGATAGTCATGCCGCAATCCCTTCTCCTCCAGTCTCCTCTTGGGATTTTGGGCACGCACGCACATGCGCCGAGCGGGAGTTCTAAGCCACCAGGTCCAGGACGTGAACCACGGCCGACTACGTGGGAGTCCAGCGACATAGCCATTACGCTAACTGCTGGTTCCCCCCAGGGTGATTTTCAAGCCACTACATTCAGGACTCAAACTGTAGTTGGCCACGTGGGAGTCCAGCACCTAAACCACTATGCCATCTGAATTTTTAACAACTATCTCATGCAGACGCCCCACAGTGTTTGTAGACATTACATGTTCCCCTTGCCTCTCAGCCCAGGCTATCACTGCCCTGAATTTTGTTTCTATGGATTTGCTTATTCTAGACATTTCATATAAAAAGAATCAGACACTGTATAACCATTTATGTCTGGTTTCCTTCACCTAGCATAATGTTTTCAAAGTGCATCCACGTTGTTGCATGTACCAGTACTTCATTCCTTTTTATGACTGAATATTCCATTGTGTGAATAAACCACATTTTGTTTGCCCACACCTATTCATCAGTTGATGGATATTTGTGTTGCTTTCACTTTTTGGCCATTAGAAATAATGCTGATACCAACATTCATATAAACTACACGTGAATATAGCTTATAATCGCTATTTGTATGAACATGATTTCAATCTTTTGGGGTATATCTTACGTGTTTTTTAAAACCATCTTTACCTAGCTGGTGGTGTGGTGGTTAAGCCACCTGGATCCTGCACAGCTGACTACGCAGTTCAAGTCCCAGACCTGGCAGCTTGGAAAACACGCCAGGCATGCATGTGTGCATGCCCAAAAACCTGCAAGGAGAATGGAGGAGAAGGAATTGTAGCATGGCCATCCCTCCAGAGGGTGCTTTCTCACTCTTCCTCTCTCTGTCTCTAGGTAAGAGCACATGCCTATAACAAATTTTTTAAAAATATTCTTTAATTTATAAAATATTACAATTAAATAGACTAATTGCATATGAAGTATTCTCATCAGCGTTAAGAATTTGTTTTCTCCTTCCTACTTCCTGCTACCTCCCTTTTCTCCAATTAGAATGTTTACTGACAATTTAACATAAAACAGTAGCTCCCAAAAGTGACATGAAAATAGAGTCGAAAAAACTTTATTTGGGTTTTCTACTGCCTCTCTCCAGGGAAAAGTAGCTGCATAAGGAAGAACAGCTATAGTATGGTGAGACTGTGCTGCTGAAGAATTTTTAAAATGCAGGGTGGTGTGGGAAAGAAAAGGATTCCCACAACCACATATCTGAGTTAAGTCCCCAGGGGAGAACAGTTTAATTTATTCACAAACTTAGAACAAAAGTCTAGGTAGTATACCAAGCTTGGAAACATTTATTTGTCAATTAAATTAGTTAATAATTCTCTCTTTGCTATTAGAATTTATCAAATTTTATTAAGCCTAATGTTTCACAGAATCACCCGGTGGTGTTCAGTAAGAACAATTAATTACTTATAATCTAAGTAAGTTAATAAGAAGATAAGACAGAAAGATACTATTTTTTCAAAAGATGAAAGAAAATTATAATGAAGTTTTGAAAAAATCAGTTTGGTGACAGATAAGTAAGAAATAGTCATTAATAGCTAAACACTCAGAAAATAAAACTTCTAATAAGGAATATACTGGGAGTAACTATTCTGAGCACATTTTCTGTATCGTATTCGCTATATCAAATTCATATCCTGCATATTCCAGGTTTTATTTTCTGACTCCTGAAGAGATCAGCCAATGAGGGAAAACAAAAACAAGGAGCCTATGACAACACAGATGCCCAGAGAATAAAACCTTGCGGAGACGGACATGTTACACATTTTCACTGAAAGAAATGGAGGCAGCATATTAACTTGATCGGTATTTTCACTGCAGTGGAAGGAATGGAAGTTCAAAGAGCAAGTTATGTGAAGTGTCACTATGTGAGAAGAGAAAAAACAACCATAGCAAATTCTTTCCTGTATGTATTTATGAACCCACTGCCTATTCATTTAGAGGGATTAGAATAATATATCCTGACCTAATAAATAGAACCTGTCCCTGCTTGCCGACTCAGAAGTCACTTTCCCATCCTAAATCAGAGCCTGTAATTTCTTCTGGTCCATAAAGAAGATTATTTACAAAACCTTTGACCACGTGGTCTTCAATTCTGAATAGTATGGTATTATGAGACACTCACAATCCCCCAATGTTCTATTATTATTGCAACAATAATTTCATAAAAATATATAGACTCCCACATGGTCAACCACTGTTCAAATCCTGAACCTGGTGGCTTGCTTTCTCATTCACCAACACACCCCACCCTTTGGTCAAATTGAAGAAAAATAATAAATAAATAAAATAAATAATTATTAAAAAAATCCTTGAATGTGAGGAAATAAAATTCTATGAAATATATGTGAGGGTGGTCACAAAGGGAGAGAGAGGTTACAATTAAGGCAAACCAGAACAAAGCACCAACAGAAAGAGACAGGATCAGAAAGTAAGGAAGAAGTGTAAGCAGTCGGATGTATCAGCAGTTTGCAGTACCCACTGCAATTTCCAGATGAATTTCAAGAGGGTAAAAGTGGAGCATTACACTTAGCACAGTACTCTGTCCAAAAACACGATTTTCCATTGGAGCCTCCAGAAAGGATTGTAGCAGTGACAATAGCTAGATTTTAACCCAATAAGCCCCCATGTCAGATTTCTAGACCCTTTGAACTGTAAGAGAATGAATTTGTATTGTTTTAGGCCACTAAATTTGCGATAATTTATCATGGCAGACATAGGAAACAAACATACCATTTATGTTTCCAGTAGAGGGGTAAGAGTCCTTTCCACCAAACAACAGGCAGTAACTTTCTTTTTTACCTCTTTCTGTATCAACCTTCAAAGCCTGGTTTCAAAGTGCTCATCTGATGTATGTCTTTGATTATAAAGGACGATGAACCTTTGTTCACATGTACGAGTTACTCCTACCTCTTGAATTTCTTACTCAAGCCCTTTCTCATTTTTTTAGTTTATGTGTGATTTTTCTTAATTAGCGAAAGCTTTTTATAGCATATGTTTTTATGTTTTGAAAGGACTCTCAAACCTATGAAATAGCCAATATTATTTATAGGATGAAAGCTCAATTTCATTAATCCTAAATAGTTTTAAAATATCAATAACGAGAAATTTAATAATAAAAATTCTAGATATTTGGCGGGCCATTTTCTGTGATTTGAGTTTTACCCCAAAACTCATGTGTTGAGATCTGGTTGTAGCTGGATTAAGAGGATAAAAGCCTGGGACCAGCAGTTAGCATAATGGCTAGGTCACTGGGCTTCCATATAGTTGACAGAGGTTCGAGTCCCAAACTCAGTGGCTT